CGTAAATGCGTTATGTTGACAATGCAGACATTTTGCTATCTGGGTAGTGTCTAGCTACGTCTCCATTTCGTGGCTCGTACCTGATTTATCGTTACCAGTGTTTAGTCATTTTTCACATTCTAATTGTAACAAGATCTATTAGTGACACAAAATCGCGCGTTTATGGTAAATAGTTTATGGTAACTGTAAAGGAGAGAGGGAGTTTGTGTGTGTGCGTGACCGACCAACGAATTAACCTAAAAAGTATTTTTAATACATTTAACAATCACCATGGCAGATGTGTGGACAATTAATATATTGAAAAAGTGGGAATTTTCATCTTACGAAGTTCATCAACAGTTTTAAATATTTTGCCTCCAATCCTGTGCATATTGTTATATATGACCAGTTTATCTGATTCCACAAACTATCAACACGGAAAAAAATTGTAATATATGGATACCTCAAAATATTGCTAGCTACTTGTTTCATTGAAGGAAACAAAAGTGGCTAATGCATGCAGCAATATTTTTAGATGTTCATATATTATAACTATTTTTTCCGTATAGATAGTTTACACTTTAGGATAAGATGGTACTATAGAAAAAACTGATTTAGTTGATTCAGCAAATCTATAGTTTGCTAAACAAAATTAAACGTTTTAAAGAAGTAAATTTGCTAATGCAGCAAAGAAGTCGTGTGTAAGAGCAATCGTTACTTTGTTCATAAAACAAATCGATTTTTTGCTGAAATTATCTTAGTTACTGTGTAACGAAGCGCTCAACCTTCCCGGTACTGCTTTCCGGACAGGATTCCGGCGGGTATCACTTATTACGCGAATAAATGCGGAACTTAGTCGGACGCGCGGTTCCGACTAACGGTTGGAAGAGTTGGCGTTCTTTCGGTCGGTTTTGACGTGCTGTGTGTCGGTTAAAAGAATCCTCCGTTCCTCTGATTTGCCGAATATGCTCAGCTCCAGGGCCGTCGAGAGGAGGGGAGGAAAAGATCTTACTTACTGGTAGTGAGGTAATCGCTTGGAAGGATCGGAAATAAATCGGACAGGTGTTTAATTTGGTAGAAAACGATAGGAACGTGGTTTATTCATGGATAAGATACATGGGATCGAGGAAATTACAATAGGTCCGCCCTGTGATCAAAATATAAAAGGAAAGAAAAGGATTAATAAGTACAATGGGTCCGCCCTGTGGTTAAATACAAATGAAAAACATGAGGGTATGATTAGACGGATTATATTACTGTACAGGAGTACGCGGCCGGATCGGGATACGGAGTACAACAAATAGTGTGGCCGGTCGGATTAATCGGAGATACAGGAATATCAGTACGGTTATACGACGTTGTAAAAATATACCGAATCTACGCAACTGGAATCGAGATATAGGAATATTGATGCGATTATACGGATTTCTAATAATGTACAGAAGGTACACACTGGCTCGGAGTACAGGAATATATGATTAATGATGATAGTAATACGGTACGCAAACGGATAATATACGGGATAATTTATACTGGATAATACGGATAGTATACTGGCGACAACGGAAAGGATGTCTGTACGGAATCCTCTGGTCGGTAAAAGGAGAACAGTGACGGAATTAATTCTACGGAAGCCTACGCGCAAATTAGAATTAATTCCCACCCGAATATTCCCCCCTGAGCTCTACACCGGTCAGGAATCAGGAAAGGGATCAGGTCAGGTCAGGAACACGCCCGAGCAGCGCCTCGTTATGCGTGTATTTTCCAGTAGTGATTGTACACCGAGGAGCCCCCCGTTAGGTGTACGCTACTGCGGAATCACTCCGTCCCCGCGAAACCCGGCGGTACCCGCGGTCACGGGGGGAACGGAGCCAGGACAGGTACAGGAGACCGGTACGGGAAATTTTGTAGCATGTGTACGCCGAGGAGCACCCCGTTAGGCGTACGCTACTGCGGGACGGGGCCCACAACGGAGTAGTGCCTCCGCTGTGTGCTCCGGTGAGGTATATAGCCGGAGACAGGAGCACCCATTCAACTCCGGCTTACACCTGCAGCGGAGGTACCCGCTGCCCGGTGTCGACGGTCGGAGCACCAAGCGTCGACTGAGTTAAAGCGCCTGCTCCGGAGGGGCTTTTATACCCCCCGGATGTAGGCGCGCGGGGAGAGGCGGCGGGGGCGGGCGCGACGTTGCCGGCTGCCGTCGACGCGGCAACCGCGCCGTTTATCGATTTTCCACCCGCGGCTCTATTTCCTTCTCTCTCGCGCGTGGTATGCAGTTTTTTCTGCTTCCGGCCGCGCCTCCCCGGTCGCCTCCGTTACAACTGCAACAAATCATTTTCGCTAAGTGCGAGACGTAGCTAGCGCCAGTCGTTACGATGCCTCGCTTTCACTAACAAAATTAGGTTAGTCTTCATATTTCGTTCTTATATTTAAGAGAGGCTTAAATGTAGTCTTAAGATGTAAAGAATCACAAAGCCGTACTAGCATATTAATATATTATTGAAAACGATCCTGAAATAAAAATGGACTATGTGAATACGGGCCTTTTTAGGCAATCACGCGCAGTAAATGTGAGCCACAATTGTTTCAACGATCGTCGACGCAGGACTCGCGACACTCGCCTGACTCGCCTTCGAGAAGGGACACGCGCCGGTCGGTCCTGCGAGTTGTAAGTTGCGACGGTTTTTCTCTTCTTCTCTTCTCGCTTTCCGCCCTCCCGTTGTACGCGGACGGACGGGTGTTGCCGTCCCGCTCTCGCTGTCGCGCGCGGGTCGTAAACGAAGGCGCGCGCCGACGACGGGGAGTGTGGTCGCCGGGCGCGAGAAGCGCGGGATCCGGACGGATCGAGTCGTCGTCAAAAACCAAAGGGGGAAAGGAATGATAACGCGCCGGGAAGGAGCGGGATCTCGGTAGCTCCGCGCGTACCGTGCCGAAAGCCGACGGGTCGACGCGAAAAACGAAGCTTGGGCGCCAGGCGCGGTCTCTCACGCGCCACGTCGCGATATTCGCCAAAGGGGCATGAACGATCGGTATCGGCCTTCGTCACGGGCAGGCTAGCTCGCCTAATGGTAGAGGGGCTGGGCGGTGGTTGACACCAAACGATTCCAGAGGCTACGGGACTTAAGAAATTCACACGACGGACGAAACACACGAAGAGAGACGTACACGAAAAGAAAGTCAGAAAAATAATATAAATAAAATTGGATTTAATATCAGGCGGCGTTAACACGCCGGTTGAGTGGCCGCTATAACGGGCGGCGTCGCAGGCGGAAATTATTACGAGCCCCGTGATCGGGGGAACAAGTCGCCGCGATACTCTCGGCGACACGGAGCACTCTGGCGCGGACTCAACGGCAAGACTTCTCGGACGCGCTAAACCCTACCCGAAAGACGCGGAGGCATTTAACATTTATTTCCCGGCGAACGGTATGAACACCGCCGCACGCACAACACTCGGCCGGGCACTTCGCCCGCGAGACTGGGTACTCGGGCCGACGGATCGGCCCGTCTTACAACGACATGCAAGGTTCCGTCGGGCAGTCCCCGACGGCTAACTACGGCGAGCCTTTCGCTCGCTCCCGGCCGCGCCGGCCGCGCTGGTCGGCAGGGGATCCCGCTCCGGACGCACCGTCCTCGCGAACCCGCCACCGACAGCGGCGGAAGCGGCCCGGGGTATCGCAAACACGCACCCACTCGTTCACACTCTCTCAATCGCCGGGACTCTTCGGCGACGCACCTTCACGCTACGCATGCACGCGACACTCCCGCGGCATGCGTACCCCGCGTGATCTCGCGCAACGCACCCCTCGCGCCGCGAATCTCCAGATCGGCTAACCCCAAAGAAAAAGGAAATGCACGCGATCGCGAGACTCGACGCAAACACACACTCGCTCACTCACACACGAGCCCTGTGCCCTGCAGGCTCCGGGGCAACCGCGGTTGCTTGTCGCCGCGACCGGGACACCAACAAAACTCTAAAGCCAACGGGCCGTAGCCCGGGCGACACCAAACGCGAAATCTTCCCGGCGGCGACAGAACAACCCGGGCCCGGACGCGATCGTACGGGGCGAAACAGACGGAGGAGGATCTCACCGGCACCCTCGGCTCTCCCGGGATCGTCAGGCGGCAACAGCTCGTCCTGGCCCTCGAGACCTCGCAACGCGGCGGCAAAGCTACGGCAGCGGCCGACCGGGGTCCTTCCTCTCACACGTCTCGCAACAGGCTGTCGCCAAATTTCCGCGATCGCGGATCGATAGTTAGGGGCCCCTCCCCCCGCGGCGGCTCGCGCGAGGCGCGTGCCACGCGGCCAATCGCGCGACTGCACGCGACAACGCCGGCAGCGATATTGTCTAAACCGGGCGCGGGTGCCCGCGGGATCGCCAAAGTTTTCCCGCGGCGTTCCCTCGACGGGGCTGTCGCAGCGGCTCCCCCGCGGACGCCCCTCAGGTAGAGTGCCACGGGCCCTGGGCTTCTTCCTCCCGGCTCGCCGCTCAGCGCGCTCCGCTCTCAATCTGCACGCCTCTCCATCGTGCTCGCCGCGGAATTTGTCCGTCAGCCGGGCCTCTCGTGGCCCTTCTCGAGGCGCGGCCTATGCGCTGCCACAGATGCCTCGAGAGGGGCCACACGAGGGCGACGTGCCCCGGTGAGGTGGACCGCAGCGGGGGGTGTTATCGGTGTGGAGAGACCGGTCACACCTCCCGCGGTTGCCGGTCTGCCCCTAAGTGTCCGCTCTGTACGGACAAGGGCAGACCGGCGGCACACGTGCTGGGTGCCAACATCTGCACCCAGCGCAACGTGCGCGGACGCCCACCGGGCGCCCAAGGAAAGGCGCCGGTCACCGGGGCCCCTCCCCCGGCTGAAGCTCAGCCGGTGGCAGGGGATAAGGGGGAGTCGAGCGGCGGCGCGGGCGAGACGCCCAAACCGCAGCGTCAACCGCGCCAAGTGGCGCGCGAGGGAGGGGCCTCCGTGGAGGAGGCCATGGACGTAGAGGCCCCATCGGACGGGGGGGATAAGGCTTAGTAATGCCTCGACATCCCCCCCGCCCGAACCTGGGTGGTTATGGCCTGTTTCAGGCCAACGTGAACCACTCTCCCCATGCGCAGGATTTACTCCAGCAAAGCATGGTGGAGAGGGGGTTCACGTTGGCGATCGTGGCTGAGCCCCACCGCCCCCCCAGGACAGGCAGTCCCTTTTGGGCTGTCGATAATGGGGCTGCGGGGGACTCGGTCGCGATACGATGGCGGTCGGTGCCGGGTGGTCCCGACACGACCGCCATCGTCAGCGGCGAGCGGCACGTGGCCGTTCAATGGGGGCCCATCGCGGTCGTGGGGGTCTACTTAAGGCCTACCAAGAGCTTTGCCCCGTTCGAGGGCTGGCTGGAGGACATAGGACAAACAGTCCTGAGTCTGAGTCCCAAGCCGG